GTACCGGTCCATCCAGATTCCCAGTATTTATTTGCATTTACGCACAAAGGCCAACAATATACATATTCGCGATTACCACAGGGTTTCGTACACTCACCATCAATTTTCAATCGTGTACTGGCAAATGACTTAAATCACCTTGACATACCATCTACAATGTTGATGTATGTTGATGATATTCTGATTTGTTCTGTTTCTAAAGAGCAGTGTGAGAGAGACTCCATTACAGTGTTGACTGCTTTGGCAGAAGGAGGACACAAAGTAAGTAAACAAAAATTGCAATTCTGCCAGCAAACAGTGGAGTATCTCGGCAGGCAACTTAGTGGGGACAAGAGGTGTATTGCACCGTCCCAACTGGAAGCCATAACCCAAATGCCCAAACCTACGACTGTTGGTCACATGTTGTCTTTCCTTGGCATGGCAGGTTACAGCAGACCGTGGGTGTGTGATTATGCCATCAAAACGGCTCCACTGAGAGCAATGATTAAAGCCGCAGGTCAAGGACACCAGTCGGCTCAATTACAATGGACAGATGAGGCAGAGGGTGCGTTCCAGCTGCTGAAACAAGATCTCCAAACTGCTCCTGCTCTGGCCAATCCAGATTATGGCAAACCATTCCATCTCTATGTGGCTGAGCGACAAGGGTATGCATGTGCAGTATTGATGCAAGACACCCCAACAGGTAAACAGCCAATTTCTTATTACAGCACAAAATTAGATGGTGTCGAAGAAGGTTTGCCTCCCTGCTACCAGGGTTTGGCAGCAGCAGCCTTCGCCTACAAAAAGGCCTCAGTTATTACTATGGGCCACCCTGTTATTCTGTACACATCTAATCAATTACATGCACTGCTCACCAGCCCACGCTTTGTGATAACCCAAGCTCGTCGAACAGGTTATGAAGTTCTGCTTTCAGGACCTGATTTAACAATACAACGTTGTACCACCATTAACCCAGCCACAAGAATGGTATTGCCCACAGAAGGTGAGCCCCATGATTGTCTCCAGGAGACGGACACCTTCATGAAGGTAAGGGAGGACTTATACAATCATCCAATCCCATCTGATCTGACGCTGTTCGTAGACGGATCATGCGTCAGAGGTGACACAGGGAATAGAGCTGGATATGGAATAGTCCAACTTAACCCCGATGGGACCTTTACCAAGGTACAATCAATGAGTCTAGATCAACCTTGCTCTGCCCAATTGGCAGAGATAAAAGCATTAACAGCTGCATGTAAATTGGCTACTGGTAGAAGAGTGACAATCTATACTGACAGTGCATATGGATATGGGGTATGCCATATAAACGCTAGCATCTGGAAACAACGAGGGTTTGTTAGAACAGATGGCACCCCAGTGACACATGGGCAAGCTGTAGTGGAGCTAATAAAAGCTATGCAACTTCCATCTGCGTTAGCTATTGTAAAATGTGCTGCTCATCAAACAGCAAAAACACCTATTGCCATTGGAAATAACTTAGCAGATGAGGCAGCTAAAGAAGCCACAGGTTCAGCAGTACAGGGACCAATGGTTCATGTAGCTGAGTGTGAACCCATTACTAATTTGGCCTCCTTAATAGAAGCCCAAAATAACGTATCTGAAGCAGAAAAACGCCTGTGGGTACAAAGGGGGGCGGCTCGGTTAACACACCCCCACGATGGATTGTGGCGTAGTTCTCGAGGACATTTTGTACTACCTTTGTCCTTATTACCGACAGCCATTAAAATAATGCATGGACCTGATCATTGTTCACGAGCCCAAGTTGTTCAAAAGTTACAGGCAGTTTGGTGGTCACCTTATATGACACCTATGGTAGACAGAGAACTGGCCTTATGTCCACATTGCCCTAAGTACAATGTGCGTAAAATGTTTACTCAACCCTTAGCACATATCCCTATGCCAGACGGTCCGTTCCGCCATCTGATGATGGATTACGTAGACATGATAACTCGGGTTCAGGGAAAGAGGTATATGTTGGTGGTTGTTTGTAGGTTTAGCAGATGGGTAGAAGCATGTCCCACTGCTCATAATGACCACAAAGCAGCAGCACGTTTTTTTTGTAAAGAAGTTTTTCCCAGATTTGGCATGCCTGACACAATATCATCTGATAACGGACCACATTTTGTTTCACAGGTGATCCAGCAAATGTTTAAACTGTTGTGCATAAAACAAAAGTTTGGTTGTGTGTATCATCCCCAGTCACAGGGATCCGTGGAACGAGCTAACGGGATCCTGAAATCGAAGATCGCTAAGATAATAGCTGACAGCAACAACCGTTTGACTTGGGTGGACGCCTTGCCTGTTGCATTAATGGCAATGCGTTCTCAAACTAACCGCATAACCCATCTCACTCCTCATGAAATGCTTACAGGTCGACCAATGCCTCTCCCACAGGTTCGAGGACCCCAGCTGGCAGAGATTTCCCTAGCACAGCTTGAGCGTGAAATGGGGGACTACCTCAGGTCCTTAACCCGCATTCACAGGCTTATATTTCAACAGGTGAAAGCAGCTCACAGCCGAGACGAGACACACATTCCAGTGGACGTCAGGGACGTTCAAGTGGGTGACAGTGTGTTCATACGAGTCTTTAGACGTCAGTGGAACGAGCCTCGTAGGGAAGGCCCCTTTAAAGTTGTGCTTACCACTCCCACTGCCCTGAAAGTCGAAGGTAAGCCCTTCTGGTTTCACAAAAACCACTGCACCAGGCATCGGCCTCCAGACCCACCTGGACTCGATCCAGGACCGACGGGCTCTGCGCATGCTGACAGGGCAGCAACAAGTCTCCCTCCGCAGCACCCCTCTACTAGCTCACAAACTTTAGATGTTGCACCGGTGTCGGGCACTGATGCATCCCCACTCCCCTCAACGTCAGGCGTCCAAAGACGTTCGGCCCGCTTGGCAGCTCGCCAATCGCCAGGGTCAGGGGACTCTGAGGATGACAGTGTTCATTCTTATGCTTCCCATCCACCTTCTGATTCTGGTGGCAATGATGATGATCCTTCTGCCACTGAGACTTCTTCTGGGTCTCACCCAGATCCATCCGTCGTTCAGGCACTGGACGAACTTCTTTCTTCTGGCCCATCAGATGCTGGTGGAGTCCTGTCCCCTTCATATCCCTCACCTGCACCTTCCCCTCTCATCCCCTCCCTTTCCCCTTCCTCCTCCGAAGCGAGTGGGCCGCCGATCCACTCGGTCCCGCCCGCCCCATCGCCGTCTGGGCATCTCCCGTATGCGCCTTCTTCAGACTTTGATTAACTTTCTTGTTGTGTTAACCCTTTGTGGGTTAACAAGGGGGGATCTTATGAAAATTAATACTAACAGTGCACACACACATTTAATGCGTCACACACAAACATGTGCACTAGCAATGGTAACACTAGCTACTAACCGAGGGGTAATCAATAATAATGATGGAGAAAATTTATCACTAATGCATGTGCAAATCAAAGGATATGATTATGTAATGTCTGAAGAAATTTTAGGTAACTCAATGGGGAAACATTGGCTTGGAGTTCCACAAAGCATGGACTGCCGTGAGGATGGGATGGTGATCATTGAGGTAAGATGCAAAATGAACATATGCCAAAACACATTAACAGAGCAGGTAATGACGGTAGGGAAAGCGCATAGAATGGTAAAATTGGTAAACAAAAGGCAGAAAAGAGATCTAGACAAATTAAAGACTGCACACTGGGAGACCAATATGTTCCAACAATGGATTCAGTACTCTGTCCAGGCAATGTTCAAAGCCAAAAAGCGCCCTAAAGATGATTGTATAGCCTGCTATAATGCTAAAAAATTACCAGCCCTTCAGATTATTCCCGGAAGTAAAATAGGCGACTGCCCAGATGTAACGGAGTGCTTTGCCCATTGTGCCATGCAGATGGCCGGAGGTCTTGCATCATTATCAAAAGACCACACGATATGCCCCAGAGCGCTGAACTTCTCAATAAATGATGTAATGAGCACTTTCTCTCTTCCACCAGTAGTACAAAAACCGGCTGAACTGATTTTTCCGTTTTGTATAGCCCGAGGGAAAGAACTGGAAACAGTGACTAATAGATCCTCTAGACAGATGTGGACAACGGATAGACTGGTTACATGTAGTAATAGGACATGGTACCCACCAACAGCAGAAGGGAACCTCACCTACCACATTAAGTTTTGTCAAACGAGTCCCAATGCCACCGTACGCTGTGAACAAGTAGTACCAGATGGGGGACATGTCATCTATGAGTTCCAACCTTCAAGTGTATCTCAGTATCGAATACTGAGCCTGGCGAGGGGATCTGTCCCCTTAGGTGACATTTTTTGGATGTGCCATAATGAGACACAAATGTTGGCCACATTACCCCCTCAGTGGGAAGGCATCTGTGCACCAGTAATGCTGACAGGACAACTCAAGTTAATAGTAAATAACCTAATAAGTACAAATGTAACATCTAATGAGATACCCAACCGCGCTAAAAGAAGTACTTCCCCTAAACATGAGTGGAAGAAATCAGATGAGGTATATATTTCTTGGGATCAGATCCCATATGGAGTACCTAAAGACCAGGTTGCCATAGGGAGTGATTGGATAGAAAGCGGAAGAGTGGCTGGTGCGGTGCCAATTTGGGGAACTATTGCCAATGCGCAGTACATAGCTCGAAATAGTAGATGGGTGAATCTCCTATGGTATAATCAACAAAGATTTATAAACTTTACAATAAACGGCCTGGATTTGGTAAAGGAACAATTGCATGCAACTTCACTAATGGTTCTACAACATAGGTTCGTGCTAGAATCCCGCATGGCTGGAGACCAAGGAATATGTGATTATATAGGGGAAGATTGTTGTACTTTAATCCCCATGCACACAGATGTAAATGGTAGCCTCACAGGAGTCCTACAGGAAATGAAACGAATGAGGGATGAACATGTGCTGCAGTCTAATTGGAACACCCAGCTGAAGGGATTCTGGGATTGGTTTCACAAACTTGGAAGGGGAAAATATCTTGAGGCAGCAGGAATGATTTTAGGGGCAGTAATACTGATTATATTGATAGTTGTGTGTTGCATCATACCCCTTGTTCGGGGACTGGTCTCAAGACTTGTTGTAAGTGTAACTGGTCAGTTCCCAGTTGTAGAGATACAATTGGACCAAGAGATATAAAACATAACCATGATCACCTTCCACCCTCACCAGGTACGTGCATTTCTTTAATAACAACAGTGTATATATATAAATATTTTGCATAACAATGACTTATATACTTACTCACGTAGATATGGCAACTTGCATGCTGAATAATCCATAGATATAAGAGATAATATGCCTTCAGATGATGCCTAAATTTGCCATACTATGTCCCCACAGGTAGATTATTGAACATGGCAGAGGCTAGTTATGATGAATATGAAGAAAACCAAATGAATTTACGAGCTGCACTGGCGTCGTTAGGCCCATCACTAGGGGTAGGATGCCCATATCTTCCTCCCAGGCACCTACTAGATCCTGCAGAGGGGCCAAGCAGTGCACCTTCGGGTTGGAGCAAACCTATGATGACACCCAGCAGGCAGCCTGAGGATCAACCGATGATGACACCCAGCAGGCAGCCTGATGATCAACCACCATTACCTACTGGGAAGCCACTGTCCATCTCGTCATCACCGGGGAACCTCAGTATCGATTTCGGCCCAACCAGCACCCCTGCCAGTCCTGAGAATTCCGAGGATCGACGACCACCGTCACCCCACCAATATAATTATCCGCCACCACCCATTCCAGGCGTACTGGCTATGTTCATGGTCATAGCAGATGACATAAAGCTTGATCTTGCCGAAGCTCATCATGTTGCAAAGTTCTTGGCTCATCCGCTGGAGTCCTATGATACCAACGCTGACCTTAAGCCTGAAATCACCTCTATGACCACAGCAGTTTATGCCCAATTCATGAAGGGTCTGGCGCACCCCGAGCCACGTCGGTCCTTTGAACGGATGCGCCGCACCCTGTACAAACGCAAAGTAAAGGCTGGGAATCGGCAGCTGACCCGAGACAATCTGGAACTGAGGCAGCAACTTCGGGATGCACAGCAGACCATTATCAACCTACAAGAGCAGGTGGTGCAACTTCGAGATGCACAGCAGACCATTATCGACCTACAAGAGCAGGTGATGCAGCTGACCGCTGATCTGCAGCATATGGCTCCCTATACCCAGGGGGGCCCGAACGGAGGGCAGAATTATGGACAGAATTATGGAGGCTATTATTATTATTAATATATCAACTTCAACGCCATAACTGGATATAAGGACAATGCTGATTATTGATGATTATGCATACCTTTGTTAAACATATTGGTAGGATTGTATACTTTATGTGACAGTACAATTACTGTGCAGGAGAGTGCCACATGGTTACTCCTATGTTGGTTGTAATGACGGTCCTTTGACCACTAGAAGATGTGTTTGCCTGGCATAGTCCGGGCCTGATGAAGCTTTTTGTTTGTGTTTGTGTATGTATGGGTGTGAAATACCACCAATGTAGGGGATAAATGCAGTGACCTCGTAACACAAGATGCTGCTTGGGCATTGGTATTTGCCTCTGCTGAGAAAACAGAATTAGAAAATCTTGCTACAAAAAAAGTAAGCAACGAGGACGGGTCCTCTTAAGGGAGCCAAGAGGGGGATCCCTCTTTGTTTTTGTATATTCTGTTTTCTGCATTTTATTAGTTTAATATTTACTCAGACACCACCACATCTTATATTACTCACTTCTACTATATGGTGTGTGTTTAATCTCACGTTTGGTTTAGTGTGCACAATATATATATATAAACTTTTGTCACTTGGGTGAGTTCACATTTAAGGTGTTTTAGATTAGTTATCACCTGCATAATCACGTAATTGATCCTTTTAGGATCAAAGGGGGGAATGTTGTGTATTAATCTGCACTAATCATAAGATAAAATAAAGTTAATGTTTTATAAGTTTAAAGTTGTTTTCCCAAATACTGTTATAAGAGCAATTCAAGGCCAAAAAGGAAAAGAAAAAAAACAGAGCAATGAATGGAGCCATTCAAGGCCAGAGAGGAGAAAAGCAGAGCAGTGAGTATGTGTAACTATTGCACCTGGCCCCAATAGGAGTGAAGTCTGCAGGACAACGCAGGGTTGAGGCCCCTTAGTGATAAGAAAGCACACTCAATAAAAATGAAATATTTGACATCTCAAGGTTGCCCAGCTCAGCAAAATTTGGCCATACAAAAAGAGTTGTTATTTTCAAGGCACACGGAGCGGTAATGGTCCCAGAAAGGGTGATGCTTTGACTAAGATACGAGGGGGGAGCAGTAGGCCAGACTGACATGGCTTGAAGCAAGGGAAAGATGTGTTCTGACATGTTTGTGACTAAACCGTCATAAGTTTCTGATTTGAATGCACCAGATGTTTTCATGGCCTGAGAGATTGCTCTCACAAGAATGAGATGTGTCTATGAATGTCACCGTGTTTTGCAGATAAATATCAATGTGACCTTTACCAAAGACTGAAATATGTTCTGAAGGGGGTTTTCCACCGATAAGAAATGTATAAAAGGGAGCTGTGTTCACCATTTGTTCAGCTTCGGCTCACCGGTGACCAGCTCAGTGTGAATGTGTTGTGTTTAGCAATAAACACACTGGACCCGGACTCAGCTGCCTCTGCCTAAATTTTTTGATCTTTGTTTGAGACTTTTTCTGCTTTTTAAGAACTTTGAATTTTTATAAAACTTAGCTTCAATTTTAAGTCGTCAAGAAGAGAATTATAGACGACACTATGTTACGTCACATCTAATTGTGGGAAAATCTGCAGCGTTGACAGCTGTCCAGCAGACAGTCACTAAACTTTCCACAGGGGAGTGTAAGCCAGGGAGATCAGGCTAAATAAGCTGACAGCATAGAGTCCTGTGTCCAAGCATACAAATTAATAGTTGAGGGGAGGGAAAAGCTTTGATAGAGACTGGTTCCCAAACATCCTCTTAACAGGAACCAAAAATTGCTTTGGAGAAAATCCACAACATCTGTACTGAACCCATAGCCAACTCACGCAGACATGTCCAGGACAAAGTCAGTGTCCTGTCTTTGCTAAAGATGAGAGTACTAAGCTAAGATGTCCTAAACCTCCCTCTCAGATGAATGTCAACATTTCTTTGGAGTTGAAAGTCAAGTTTCCAACATCTCTCTGCCAACAGGTTTTATGGAAGTGCCGCATTTAGTAAACCAGCATTACTGAGCATTTTTTTTCACTATAAGTACCAATACCTTGACCATAATCTAAAGTGCATGGTACCAATGTGTGTGACTGGTCAAAAAACTGGCTGAACATACGCCATATGGAATTATGGAGTGTTTGTAAAAGAACAAGACACACTTGAGCCACTAATACAGTCAAGTAAAAGGTCGCTATGGAAGCAATCCGATCTCCCTGAACTAATAAAAGCCATGAGGTTCATGTGAAAGAAACCCCTAGCCAAGTTTTATTTGCATATACATGCGACCACTTACACCATAATTACTTTTTGAATAGTTTCAGTGCTAGGACCAATTCTCTTAACTATAAATGACCCCAATTTGTAGAATTATTAGACAGCATGGGATTTATTTCCACTGTTATGCTGATGAAACTCAGCTATATCTGTCTATAAATCCAGATGAAGCTAACCCATTACATAGATTACAGGCATGTCTTGAAGACATAAAAGCCTGGTTGACTCTTAACTTTCTGATGCGCAGCTTTGGCACAGAGGCAAAGCGTGCAACCCAAGCATAGAGGCCTCAGTCCATAACATAGCTGTCACAGGTTTGAGTCCTAGCGTGTTGACCTTGCCTTATGTCACCCCTCTCTCTCACGCACAGTTTGTCTGTCTGCTATCAAACAGAGGCTGCTAATGCCCAAAAATAGCTGAATTTTAATCAGTGCTTAAGTAAGTGACCTGTAATCACAGCAATACAATGAATTGAGGAAATGTTATTCTTAGAAAAACTCTTTATAACTTTCTTCAATTTTAATAACTATAAATATTTTTTTGTGTACATCTAGGCTTAACTTCGCTTGTTGGCTTGTTAGGATAACCTATTTTTTTTCTATTTGCTGTATGACAAAATACTAAGGATGAGGATTATTTAAAAAAGTTTCAGAGATGTTTAAGCGTGATATAACATTTGTGTTTGGCTTGAGTGAAACATTTGGGTATCCTCCATCAAGCTTCTTAAAATATATATATATTATATGGAAAAAATTCTAATATCTACTCTTCCTGAAGCACAATGAGTAAGATACTTTTATGATCAGGGTTATCAAAGATTATGTTGGCTGTCTTAGGTTAACATTTTGAAAAAGAAAAGTTACTCTTTTGAGTCCTTTATATGCTCCAAGATGATAAATGTGGAGGAAAATACCAGAGAAAAGGGGAGATTGAGATCCTTGTTCAAATATCCTGCCAACAGAAATGACAGAAGCCACCCGGTCTTTAGAGAAAAGGGTGAGTACACTGACTGCATCAAATGTGTGAATGTTCCCATTGTACAGACATTCTCATACATGTCGCTGTATTATCAGGGAAGAGGAAAAGAGGGAATTTGGAGAATATAACTCATTTTGTAGCTAATCAGTGTCTTACACTTAGGTCCAGGTTATGTGGAGGTGAAAGTTTCCCAGCTGAATTGTAGCCCAGGATTTTTAACAGTACTTGTGTCATTTGTATTTCACAATCCATTTCACACTATGACCATTATGGCATTAAGATCCAAGACTGACTCTTGCACACCTTCACAGGATGGACACTTTGACATTATGAAGAAGAAGGCTGCCATTCATTTTTGATTTTATGCAACTTTTGATATAACCAAGATATGTCCAGAGACAAATTTTCATAAGTCCGTTGAAATCAATCACCTCACTAAATGATTCATGGTTAGATTTTTGGCCTAATGTTTAATATTTAATAAGAGCATATAATCAGTCCTGCTAGAAATGATTTTAAATATATGATCAAAGGAAAAGCTGAAAGTTCAACTCCTAATGATAGATCTGATAGGTTTTCACACATTCTGTACCTATCACTGCAGGTCTAGATGGAGCAACTCAAGGTTTATTTAAACATATATAACAAACTCCTCAGCTGCAACAAGTCATGAAGACATTGGCACAATACCAACAATTATAAAACCTTTTTTAAATGAAGGTAGTGTTCGGTTGTCCAAGCAGTGTTGTATGACAAGGTTTGCATTTTTGCCTGTGTGTTGTCTGGTAATACTCAACCCCTCAGGCTGCACTTGGAGCACATTCCTAAGCCAGGGGCTCAGGCTTAGCATAATAAAAAAAAAAAAGGTAAGTTATGAATTTCTGAGCATGCTGTCTGTGCAGAGGTACCGATGGTAAATATGTTCGATTTATAAATGTGTTGTATCCCAGCTATTTTTTAGAATACAAAAGAGGTTATATCTACTGATCATTAGGGAGTCCTTCTTTAATTAGCTTTAATCGCTCCAGGCCGAGTGTAAAAAGTTTAGATTTTCGATCTGAAAAAAATCTTTTGCTGAAAGTACATGTCAGCAGTCTTTACTTGATCATTTACACATGAACAGTTGGAAAATGCACAACTGCAGAAAAATTGTTGGCTTGAATCCCGGCCAAGATTTTGCTGTGATGAATTTATATTTTCTTGTTTCTGTTTGCATTCACCCTAAGCATTTGGTACAGTGTTTGTACTAGAAATCTTAGCTGGTTGTAATTTATGTTGTAATGAAGAGGGGAGGGAATGGCTTTTTTCCCTAGATGAAAAAACAGACATAAAGAATGCATCTTTTTTTGTTTGTCACCCCAGTAAATAACAAAGCAATAAATAGCTGGATTATTTCTTTTAATCAATAACACTAGAAAGAGCTTAGAAACTGCAGTTTCAGGTGAAAAGCACAAAAAGGAAGTTGCTATTTAATTTTTCCAGCTGCCAAATCATGTGCCTATTTTAGCTTATATGGATGACATAATCTAACTGCTAAACACCCTAACTTCCAGAAAATTTCAGATAGATTTGCATCCAGCCTTTCTCACTTTGCGACACTTTGGAAGGAAGTAACTGTATGGGGCTTCATTTGTTTAATTTTTTTACTGAGATGATTCCGTCTCAACTACAGAGGGGATCAAATTTCTGCAAATATAATTTGACATAATTTGTAAGTTTATGTTATGGAAATTCAGAGTCACCACTATCAAGTTTAGGGTACTCTTAATTTCAAAAGTTAGATTCTTCTCCAGTCGTTTTTTGCAATCCCCCCCACTTCTCCCAACATGAAGTGCACCTTGCTTCTTAGTTTGGCTTGCAACCTTAGCTCACCTAAAGGGATCAGAGGATAGGTTGCACTTCCCTTTTGCCTCTGAAAAGTGTTTTATAAAAATGAGGATATATTCCTAATTTTATTTGAAAGTGGCAATTTTAAAAAAAATGCAGCCGATTTAAAAACATAACATATTTCAAACACCTTTTCATAAATATAACATATTCAAAAATTCAACATTATTAAAAAACATAACCTGTTGCTTTTATGAATACACTGTTTTGTTTTTGAATATGTTGTTGCCTTTTCTAATTTGTAGTTGTGATTAGATTTGATCAAGTAATTTGCACATCAGGGCCACCATAGTAAATTTTCAAAAATAAGTATTTTCCGGAATATAAGCTGCTAGGTCCACACTTTGAACCATGCGGCTTATAAAAAGGTGCAGCTATTCGGTGGCGTTTTCCTAATCGCTGGAGGAGGAAGTAATAGTTGGAAATGAAAGAATAAATGGCTAATTTTCTTTTAGCACATGAACATACTAGCAGCAGGCACAACGGATAACAAATGTCCCAAATTCACACATTTTGACATTTATTAAAAGCTGACATTTATCATCAGCTACATAGGGCTGCCAGACCAATGAGGTGACTGGGCTTAACTCCTGTACAGCTGAAATAAAGAGCGGACAAAGCCTGATCTTTGAGTAGAAGCTATTACTGCTGCGAGCCACCAAGCTATCTGGATGTCACTACCCGATCCGTTCTGTGCATGCACGATATACATCTGTGTGTCCATAAATAATGTAAAAGTGGTAGTAAAATTACTTATTTCTATCATTAACTCACTAAAAAATACTAATATACATCTTTAAAAAATGTTTTATGACTTGCTATGACTTTATGAAACTGCTTCTCTGACATCATCAGACATGCTCTGACCAGTCCGGAAGAATATGATTAAACCATGTTTATCTGCATATTAGTTGTTTCTTTCTTTAGATTACGCACTATATACCATTAGGTTAAAATGAAATGAAAACATAAAACTCAAACGGATTAAATTATTTTTTTTAATCCAAAACCTAAAAAGTTGGACAGAAGTAGCTTAGGATCCCATTTCCCATTTCACAGAAAGGATTTTAAGGCATTTATTTTCTCAGGAAATACATTATCAACCTTTAATACATTATATTTTAGTATGTTTACTATTTTTGGGG